TAAATTAATTAATTTAAAAAAATCAATAAGTTACACAAACTCGACTGCATGTTTTTTGGTTGGGTTAGTTCGTAAACTTATAATAAAGCTTAAAAGCTTATTTTAAAAGTAAAAACTGGACAAAATACATTTCTAATCTGTTAACCCTTCTTCATTTAAACTGTGAGAAGTAGTGAATGCCCAACATTGACTCTACTACCTAAATAATGCTATTATCAAGGGGAACAGCAAGAGAAGCTACAATTACATAATTATTATATATTATGATAAATCAGAAGTTTATTAATTCTATATGAATATAAGAGGCAAAAGTAATAAAATAATGGAAGAACTGAAACAACAAAATCTATTAAACTCTTCATCATTTTAACTCGCCATAAATTGTTTAACCATCTGGCCTTTGATGATCAACTTTCACCATATTGTGATTTTATCATCATAGTCCATAAATTGGTCTTAATCCAAGAAAAAAAAAATCAAAAACAATCCACTGGAATGGAAAGTCATATGTTATTGAGAAACTTTAATTAAATAAAAAAAAAGAAAGAAAGAGCTTAGCCTGGGATATTTGTGTAACATGATTTAATTCACATTTTACAGTTTAGATAAGTGAATAAAACAAAAACAGATCATTTGGATAATAGCGCTTTGGGTTTGGCAACATACCTGCTGAAACACTGCAGAGTTGCAAGTTTTCTAACTTGAATGGGCAGAAGAAGTTGCTGTCACTTTACTCTCCCCACTGAATGGATGTCCTGCAGTGGAGAGCTGTCTGTGCAAAGCATTCTGGGATATATCTGAGGCCTTTCTTTTCTTCCCATACACTTCATAGACACTTTACCTCTTCTCACCCTCTGCCATACAGAAGTTAACTACAGATATACGCCTGAAAGTGCGCATGTTGATAAAAAGATAGTTAACGGATTGAGCATGTTGGATGGTCTTGTGTAAACATATTATCAGAATAATTGATAATTTGGAGGATCCACCCAAAAATAAAAGATCATCCTCTATACCTTTAAGGTTATTATCCGATTTTGTCCAAACTTTTAACTCCCTGCATTCTGTCTTCAAACGCTGCCTCAAATTACCTCATGTTACAACTCTATAAAGAGACTCTAGTGTTATCGTCTCTCTCTAAGAATGAAGATGACACTTCATCTCTTTTCTTATAATGTTTTCATTTGAGCAGCACCTTTCCTCTAGCAGCCAAATACAACATGATGCTGTCATCCCTGTTCTTCACATTTGAGACAATGCCCTTCACATTACAATCTTTTTGCCTTTTCACTCAAATAAAACAACTGTATTTAAGGTGAAATATTTTAACTCCAGTTTCACCAGACCACACGACACATTACCAAGGATTAAGGTCAGAGATGGGAAGTAACGAAGTACAAATACTTCGTTAATGTACTCGAGTAGATTTTTCTGATATTTTTACTTTACTTTACTACTTATTTTTATGGCGACTTTTTACT